ACCCAATATACAACCCTATGCCCAATAGGGCAAGACCAACAAGGAATCTAAACTACCGATCCCAAAACCCAAAAATCAAGTCCAAGGAAAGAGTCCAAGAAGTCCATTGATGATCTGAACATGCTGCGTTCCCTGGTGGAGTGTTGGGCGTTTGCCACCAACCCAGACCGCGAACCTTAGCCGAAACGTTGGGCGTTCCTCGACCAAACGCATGACGTTTGCATGCTGACTTCAAAAAGAAGAATATTAAGCACTTAATGCTTAAAGCCACTCGACCAAGTCATGGATACAGATCCTAAAGAGCATCTGTCACTGACCTGGTGACTTTGTATGCCCCAAAAGTTTCCAACTCCAAAATATAGCATTCAACTTCCATAAAAAGGATAATCTCATGCATGAGGCTTATACAACTCTAAATATGCAAACTTTATGAATCTTCAATCTCACAAACGCCAAGAGGAGCAACTCAAAGCCTTAAGAGTGATCACAAACTACTATATCTCAACTCTGGGACCAAAGAGGGAATAACATCGATAAAGACCTAGATCTAAACTTTGCATGAGCAAGAATAGAGCTTTATACCTCAAATCAGTTGGAAATAAAGTAGAGAACCAAGATATATTAGCCCCTTCTTGAACCACCACCTTGCACCAAGCTTCTCTTCCTTGAATGAGCTTCAAGCACACACCATAACATGCACAATAGACTCACAACACTCTTGGAGTCTCTAGGGTTTCAAGATTAGGGCTTAGGAGCTATGGAGGCAGGAAATGAGGCCAACACCTAGGACTTAAGGTGTTTAAATAGGTCTTAAACCATAAATATTAGGGTTTGATCTCCACGCGTGAACTCCCTACGTTCCCCAAGAGAACGCCTCGCGTTTGAGCTCTGCCTCCAAAAGTCCGATTTTGGCAAAAATAGTCCCTCCTCCCATTCAAACTTGTAAAACAAAGCCAAAAGAAATATATATATATATATAGATAAATACCTTGGCATTGCACTTCTCCACTACTTGAATTAGACTTTGTCCTCGAAGTCTGCTGCAACAAACAGATCCGGGTAATACTCCCGCATCTCAGATTCTGGCTCCCATGTCCACTCGGAACCCCTCCCATGCTGCCATCATACCTTCACCAGAGGTACTTCCTTACTCCGCAAAACCTTTACCTTTCTCTTCAAAGGAGTTACGAGCTTCTCAACATAGTTCAGGTGTTCATCGACCTGAATTTCATCCAATGACACCACTGCATCCTCATCTAACACACACTTCCGTAGCTGTGAAACATGGAAAGTACTATGGATCTGACTGAGCTTCTCAAGAAGTTTCAACCTGTAAGCAACCTTGCCAACCCTAATAATAACCCGGAATGGTCCAATATATCGGGGACCCGATTTCCCCCTCTTTCTGAAACGAATCACACATTTACAATGTGAGACTTTCAACAACACCATGTCACCAACCTGAAATTCCAACTCAGATCGGAGCCGGTCGGCATAGATTTTCTCTACCTGCAATCTGCTGAATCATCTCGGTGGTCTGAAGAACCACCTCGGTTCGAAGCATGAACCTATGACCCACCTTGCCCCAACAAACTAGGGTACGACACCTCCATCCATACAAAAGCTCAAAGGGCAGAGCACCAATGTTAGAGTGGAAACTATTATTGGAGGAGAACTCTTCAAGAGTTAGGTAGGAGTCCCAACTCCCACCGAAATTTGTGACACATGCTCGCAACATGTCCTTGAGAGTCTGAATCGTATGCTCGCTCTGACCGTCGGTTTGCGGATGATACGATGTGATGAAGTGTAGCCTCGTACACAGTTCTTAATGGAACTTCTTCCCAAAACGAGAGGTGAACCGAACATCACGGTATGAAACAATGGAGACCAAAACCCCATGGCGAGCAACGATCTCACAAATATACACATCAACCAATTTCTCGGCCGACGAGCTATCCCGAATTGCGAGGAAATGGGCACTTTTGGTCAATCGATCCATGATGACCCATATAGCATCAAAACGAGACTTACGAGCCTCCTCCAACACAATCTGTCTAACCCCACCAGACATGGGAACCAATGCCCGACCGCAATCGGTCAACAAACCACGGTTGTTTAGAACAAACCTGGTGATCTCGCCCCTAATCCTCTCAATCTTCCAATTCTCTTCCCGAACACCCTCGACCTGGGCCTCCCTAATCAACCCCATAATCGGATAATCCACATATATCCTCATATATAACACCCTGACAGAATGTCCAACTGACTCGCGGCTTAAGGCATCCGCCACCACGTTTGCTTTATCCATATGGTAAAGGATCTCATAGTTATAATCATTGACCACGTCCAGCCACCTGCGCTGCCTCATGTTCAGGTTCGGCTAATCCATAATATGCCTCAAACTCTTGTGATCTGTGTATATAGCAAAACGGACCCCATAAAGGTAATGCATCCAAATTTTGAGGGCAAAAACCACCACCCCCAACTCAAGATCACGCATGGGATATCTCGTCTCATGCGACTTCAGCTATCGTGAAGCATAAGCTATCACTCATCCTCTCTACATGAGAATTGATCCTACTGGATTTGACATACACACAAAACTCATATTCACTTCTAGAATAACCAATATTTCTTGACTTTTCAATGGAAACAAAGATTCCAACTGCGAGATGCTTGCTTCAATCTATAAATGGATTTCTCAACCTTACATACCTTATTAGGAAACTTGCCATCAACAAAACCCTCTGGCTGACTCATGTAAACATCTTCAACCAACTTTCCATTAACAAAATCAGTATTGCCATCCATCTTCCATATTTCATAGTCATGAAATGCAACAATGACAAGCATAATCTTAATATATCTAATCGTAGCCACTGGTGAGAAGGTCTCGTCATAGTCAATCCCTTGGGTTTGAGTAAAGCCCTTCGCAACCAGTCCTTCCTTGAAAGTATGAACCTTTCCACCCATGTTTTTCTTCTTCTAGAAGATCCATTTGCACCCAACTGTCTTACGACTAGGCACATGGTCAACCAAATTCCAAACTTGGTTGTCATACATGGACTTGGTATCACTCTCCATTGCCTCTTTCCACTTTGCAGCCTCAGGGTCCGCCATCGCTTCCTTGTTAGTAGCCGACTCATCCAAATTTACTAGTGTGTTATCACTGATAAACATATCACCCTCTGTGGTTATATGGAAACCATAAAGTCGAGGTGGCATGCTGACTTTACTGGAACGACGAAGAGGTAACAACATGTCAACTGGTACAACAGGATCTTCTTCCTCTGGTTGAGTGCCAACACCTTCGGAGGTTCCTTCATCGGTTTGTTCTTGAATTTCTTCAAGATCAATAGTGCTCCCACTCTCCCATTTGAATATGAGCTCTCTCTCAAGAAAGACTCTTATTCGAGCTACGAAGACCACGTTGTCACTAGGTATGTAGAACAAGTATCCAAAAGATTTTTATGGGTAACCAATGAACAAACACTTTTCACTTCTAGGTTCGAGCTTGCCGTAAGTTTCTTGTTTAACGAAAACTTCACAACCCCAAACCTTAACGTAAGCTAACGAGGGAACTTTCCCTATCCACATTTCGTGAGGTCTTTTGGCAACCTTCTTGGTAGGGAATAAATTAAGGATATGGACGGCTGTATCTAAGGCATACCCCAATAAATGGATTGAAATAGTAGCTCTACTCATCATGGAACGAACCATGTCCAATAAGTTTCGATTGCGCCTTTCAGCCACATCATTAAGTTGTGGTGTCCTTGGAGGAGTCACTTGTGAAACTATTCCACATTCCTTGAGGTAGTCGTGGAACTCGATACTAAGATACTATTCGCATCTATCAGATCAGAGCATCTTTATCTTCCTTCCTAATTGATTCTCAACTTCATGTTTAAACTCTGTGAAATTTTCAAAGGTTTGTAACATTTCTAAAAAGATAATTTCATTTTTAACCCTAGCCATGAGAAATCTTAGCAATAATGGTCCCATGTGATAATTTCGACTAAGGGTTCTTAGAGGCTAGTTTTTTTTTTTTTTTTTTTTTTTTTTTTCAAAAACCCCTAAGACAAAAACCTTAATCAAAATTTCTTGGCCTTTAGTGTTTAATTTATATAAACCCTAATTTAGTCAATTCAATAACTATAACAATTCTATTGAAAACAAAACTGAGGCTCTGATACCACTGATAAATTTTAGGCGCAACAATAAACAAGAAACATTTCCTAGGTTTACATGCAACCTGATTTGGATCTATGTTTTCACTATAGAACATATAATAAGAATTAACAAAAAGAAACCTGCAAACCCTAAGGTATTTTCGAGTACCTAAAAGAAGGTGTAAAATTAAATACATTCAATTTGGAGAAGATGATATCAACAATTTGATCTAAAGGTGGAAAACATAAAATTAAAATACAATCAAGGGCTCTGATTGTTTCGTTGGTGAATTAATGGTTCTCTTTTAATAATATTTAGAGATTACTTGATTGAATGGGATTTACCTTATAGAATAGAAAATTTTGTTTGATAATTGAGAAATTTTTATTGGAATTAAATACATTACATTTCAACGAATGTAAGTTAATTTTATTTGACAATTGAAAAACTTTTATTAAAATTAAATACATTTTATTTTGGAAAGATGATGTCAACAACTTAAAATATAAGATTAAAATACAATAAAAAACCGTAATTGATTAGTTTTTTTTTTTTTTTTTTTTTTTTCTAAACGGCAAATCTAACCTACTCCTAAAGTACACCTTAAATCCACCTATGTCCACAACGGGACTTGAACCCTCAAACTCAAAGAGGGAGAGCAACACCAGATACCGCTGGGCTAGAAACCCTTTGGTTGATTAGTTGATTTATGTATATAATTTTTTCTAAACAACACCAATGAATATATATATTTTTATTTATATTTATTTATTTATTTATTTTTTTAAACGAAGGCCAGGCGCATGACGGCATCGGCCACGACTTACATAAATCACCCCATAGTTCCACATATTTACAAAACCATCCTCCTCCCTCTACTTATCTGGCACTCAGGGGGGCTAGGGCATCTGTAGTAGTAACGCCCCACTGCCACCAATATACCCTTTCTTCGCTTCTAACTGATCACGTTGACACCGTCGCGCATCAATCCAGATTTTCATAAACGAGGCCAGAAGAGATCGTAGCTGGTCGTCCTCATCGTCATCAAGGTTTGATTCTCTGGTTGCCAAAACCCTAGTGTTTGGTTTTCGTACTACCGGTTTTTTCCTTTTGTTCATACGGAAATATCGCTCTGTTCCGCCCTCATGTTACTTCGTTAGGCGGTGGTTTTGTTAAGCTTTTATGTATCAAAAAGTCGTTCACTAGCTGATCGTCCATCACGATCAATGTTTTCCTTCCGTACTGCTTAAATCCGATGGTTTTATTTGTTCCATCATTTCATTAACTCCCTTAGCTATCGAAGATAGAATTGACATTTACTCGTATATGATTTCCTTCGAGCTAATGTACCCAAGTATGTTGGTGGTTGAGTGAAGTTTTTGTGCCATTCTAAAAACAAAAGCTTAATACATTCAGAAAGTATGAAAACCTTTATACATTAGGTTTGGTTATGTCTAGTGTGCTGCATAGAGTGGCCAAGGTTTTGATTTTCATGCATATCAAAGCCCAGTTTTGATTTTATTTGACTTTGTTTTCTTGATGATCAATTTTTGTTACTAGTTCTCCTTGATGCCGAGCCAAGCAAGGAGGTTATTTGATAACTCTACGAAGAATTAGAAGCGTTATTAAACAAGCATATTATGTCTGTTAATGCAGTTCACAATTGATGGTGTTCTAGGGTTAATTTTGGTGTTATATCTGTGTTTCATGACTATACCTGGGTTGGTTGGTGTCATTTAAGAAGGGGTAGGGGTCTAGCACTTGATGATGTGTTATTCTGTCCATGTATTGCTGTAGTTTAATATGCAATTTCTTACTTTCTGTAGAAATTAGTTCACCTCGTTCCACAAAAGCTAAAGAATTTGCAGTAATATAATACACGATGTTTCCATAATTGTAATGGGTTTGCTTTGTATGATTTAGGCAGGGTAGTTAAAGCAGACCTACATCTGTATAGCGATCTAACTGGTTGGTTTCTATGTGCAGCAAAAACTGCTCATTTTGAGGTTAGTGTTGATATACTGTGAATGCCCTCGAGGGTATTCTGATGCAACATGGGTTTTGACAATGAGTGCATATTAAACATCCAATCTCTTGCTGGCGAATACTTTTGTCCTGTTTGTCGAACCCTCGTGTATCCACATGAAGCACTCCAGACACAGTGCACTCATCTATACTGCAAGCCCTGTCTGGCATATGTTGTAGGCAGCACTCAGGCCTGCCCTTATGATGGATACTTGGTAACCGAAGCTGGTTCAAAGGTAAGTTTTTTTGTTATTATTCTTGCATTAATTGACTTGTGATTATAACCTTCTTATGCTAATCCTTGTTTCAGCCACTCATGGAATCTAACAAGGCATTGGCAGAAACCATTGGGAAAACCTCTGTACATTGCCTCTATCATAGGAGTGGCTGTGTGTGGCAAGGTGCTTTATCAGAGTGCACATCTCACTGTTCAGGATGTGCCTTTGGCAATTCTCCAGTTGTATGCAACCGATGTGGACTTCAAATTGTGCATCGCCAAGTACAGGAACATGCTCAGACCTGTAATGTCAATGTAATGAGACGTTTTCTTTTTAGCCCTTAAGAAACGGTTTCTCTGTTTTGTTTTCATAACTTGTGCTAATGTGATTGCCACAGGGTACAAATAATCAACCACAAGGGTCTGACACTGCACAGGATGCTGCTGTATCAGTTGATCAAAGCAAAATTGCTAATCAAACAGCAGCACCAGCTTCCCAGCCACATCAAGTGGCAGCTCAGCCTCAGACTGCTACCGCTTCTTCCAATGTTCAGAACCTGAATCAGACTCCACCAACTAATCCTCTACCCCAAGTTGCACCTGCAACTGCTGTGCCAGCACCTGAACAATGGTATCAACAACAACAACAACAACAACAGTATCAGCAATATTACCAACAATACCCTGGTTATGATCCATATCAGCAGCAGACTTATCAACAATACTACCCGTATCAACAGCAGCCACAAAACCAGCCTCCTGTTCAGCCACAGCCTCAATCTCAGCCTCAAATCCAAGCCCCTGTACAACCTCAGCCACAAATCCAACCCCAACCCCAGCCACAGGCCCAAGTTCCACAACAATTTCAGATGTACTCTCAAGCTCAGCCACAAATTCCATCGAATGTACAGCCTCAACCTCTCTATTCTCAGGCTGCAGTGGTTGGCTCAAGTCAAAACCAGGCTCAAGTTAATCCACAACAGCAAGTTCATCCAGGAGCTCAGATTCAGTCACAGAATCAGCCCCTTGCTCATGGGCACATGCCTCCTCAGTCATACCCACAAGTTCAACCACATCCTGTTCAAAGTCACGCCCAATCACAACCACAACCACAACCACAATCACAAATGCAAGTGCCTCAATATCAGCAACCTCATTCACAGATGCACTATTCTCAGCCTCCTCAAGTGCTTCCTCAAGCACATCCACCTTTTCAACCACTTCCTCTTCCTCCACCTCAGTCCCAACCTATGAATCCTCAGCATCCCCCAGTTCACTCTTTGTCTGGTCATCCCTCTTATCCCTCACAACCACACCAACCAATCCAGCATGCTCCACCTATGCAAGTGCAACCACCAACTGGGTCTTTACCACCTACTCAGTTTCCACAACCACCTCCTCATATGCGTCCTACTCAACCTCCTCATATGTTGCCTTCACAAGCCCCACCCACACAGCAGCTCATCCATCCTCATAATCAACCAGCTCATCCGCGTCCTATTGTGCATCAGGTTCAGCAACCAACACCTCAGCAGTATGTGCAGCAACCACAAGCATTTCCAGGACAACTACACCATGCTGGTCCTTTCGCTCAGGTGCAACCACAGCCTATGCAGCAACCTAGTCATGGCTTTGTTCAACCATCGCAGGGTACTGCATTGCCACCTCAAAGCTATATGGGAAGACCACCTATGTTGAATCAGGGAGGCCAGTCACAGCAGTTCACTCAACCCCAATCTTCTGGAATACCAGGTATTCCACCTCATGCCAGACCACCACAGTATGGTCCAAGCCAGCCTTTGGTAAACATGACAAACCAACCACATGTGTATCCGGAGCAGCAACTTAACCAATACGCACCACCTTTGGGTGGTGCATTGGTGGACAGGAAAGGCGATCCGACATTTGAAAGAAGGGTGGAACAACAAGAAGATAAATCACCCTCGCTAAAGAAGTCTGATGAATTCAGAGCTAATTTCAATGAAGTAAAACCTGAAACAGGCATCAACGATGAATTGAAAACTGGAAATGGCGGTGATGATGACCACAGGAAAGATGAAAAGGATGGTGTTTCTGAGTTGCATCAGGTCCAAGGGGTTCCAGGTGATTCTGGCATTGTACAAAGAGTGAAAGAAGAGAGCAAGGATGGTGTTTCAGATCACAACAAAGCAGAGGACGGGGGAGTTGCGACCAGAGACTCCATGAAACAAGGGGAAGCACAGAGTTCTTCTGAAGTCGATAATGGGTCACTTGGTGTTCCTCCTGGAAGTTGTATCCAACAGGGGCATCATGAGAGAAGCTTTAGTCAATCCCAAACTCCCCCTCAAGGCCAGATTGGTGATATGTCAGGTGGGTTTCCAAGCAACCCTGCTCCTCTTACCGAACAGGGAAGATCTCCACATCCTCAGGTGCCATATCCGCCATCTGGGCAGCAACAGAGACCTGCTGGAACACCAGGGAATCCCCCAAGCCATTTAAGGCCTCCTGGGCATGGTTATTTGCCTCATGGACCTCATCCAGGCGATCATTTCCAGCCACCTGGTTCTTTCCATCCTGATTTTCCATTGGGTGGACCACCTAACAATAGTAGCAGCAGGGGATATGAACCACAATACAATGGCAGGCTTAATAATAGGATGTCTCAAGGTGAGCCATTGGGACCATCACTGCCACATGGTCCTGATGGCCAAAACGCCCCTCGTCATCCTGGTCCAATGGAATCTGATATATACCATGACCAGAGGCCATCTCATTTCAACAGTAGACGACTGGATTCTCATATACCTGGAAATGTAGACAGGGGACCTTATCCTTTTGGTGGTGAATCTAATTCAATGAGGATAAATGGGGCCCCACCAGTAGGTCTTCTCGACTCCCGTGATGAAAAATTTAGAACTCCTGATACTTTTCCCATGGGTCATCATGAGCAAGGCAGACTGTTTCCTCACTTAGAGGATTCTCCAAAGTATGGGAGTCGCTCATCAAGGGCATTTGGTGGTTATGGAATGGATGGACCATCAAGGTTTTTTGATAAAGATCCCCATGGATACGGATTTGATGGTCCTGGCAGTGGAGGATACTTGCCTCCCTATCATCCCAATGACTCTGGTGGAAGACCACTGGCACTTCATCATGATGATAATATTAATAGGGGAAGGTTTGGGCCTGATTTTCACAGACCAATGCATGGTTTTGGTCGACGTTCATTACACAACTTTGATGTTGATGGCAGAGAGATGGAAAGACATTCAGCTGGTGAAAGATTTGGCCCTCCTGTTCACATGCATAGAGGGGAGTTTGATGGCCCAAGGGGTGGTGAACGTGAACCTTTTGGGCTGAGGAATCGTGGCTCTTTCCAAGATTATGGGGAACCAAATGGGCCTGGGGGATTCTCCCATAAACCGCCTTTTGGTGTCAAGTCAGCTCGTCCACATCTGGGAGAGCCTGGTTTTAGAAGTAGTTATTCTCGCAAGGGATTCCCAAGTGATGGTGGATTTTTTTCAGTAAGCCTTACATCTCAATATCCCATATCTTTATGTAGAGTGAATATGATAATGTACATATTTTAAGTGCTGTATTGGGTATTTTTTATTTTCAGGGTGGGCCTGATTCATTTGATGGGTTAAGGAAGAGAAATACATATAGCATGGGGTGGTGTCGAATTTGCAAAATTGACTGTGAAAGTGTGGAAGGTCTGGATATGCATGGTCAAACGCGTGAGCACCAGAGGATGGCTATGGATATGGTTATTACCATTAAGCAAAAGAATGCTAAGAAACATAAGTAAGCACTAATTTTGTTCTCCCATGCAATAAATAACTGAATTGTTTTTCTTGTTTTTTAAGTCTTTAATTTTTCTCCATGCCCTAGAGCATCTAATGACCATTCTGCACGTGAGGAGCCAAGCAAATTGAGAAATACAGAGGTTCATGCTCGTGTGAATGCATCTTAGAATTGAGAAAGGATCAAAACAATAGCTTCAGATGATCTCTTGGATGGTTTATGCTCGTTTTGTGTTTCAGGTTGCTGCTTTATCTTTCTTTAGTCTTGAATATTCTGCTAATATTGTAATGCATAACCTTAGCTTTGGTGTATGATATGATCCTTATACTTGTTTTCAAGGCTTGGAGTTGTTGGGAAGTAATTGTTGTACTTGCCAATCCATGAGAGCACTTCAGTTTTAGGCTTTTTAGTTACATAAATGGAAGGAATCTTTGATGTCTCAGTTGCATAAATGTTCCAACATAAGTCAGTTCTAATGAAATATGTCAACGAGCTGCTAGTATAGGCTATAGCTGTGTCAAACTACATGGTGTGTGGAATTTAAGGTGGACTAATGGGTGACTGTATTTTGACATTTTGAGCTATGATGCCAACTTGATTTTTCTAGCTTTTACTGATATAGGAATAAATAGATATTAGTTTATCTTTTGCCAGAGATAAAGGGACAGCAAGATATAGGAAAATAAGATTATTACACTCATACATAAATTGCATTCCTTTCTCAATTCGCCCCCTTGCTTTTCCCATGTTACACAGTGTTTTGGAACGATGATAATAAATCAATGATTATTCATTTATTCTGTAGTTGCAAGTAAATGTGTAAATTATCAAATTAAACCTCAAGACTTTCAGTTATGTCAGCTTTTGAGTTTTTATTGTTGTCTTATGTTTTTGTGATAGACTTTCCTGTTGAACCTACCTTTTTTTTTCTTCACAAAGCAGACAACCAAAAGGCTGAAAGTCCAGTGGAGAGGCTTACTTGCATTCTTTGTTGGTAAGGATTTGTTAAATGCAGCCTGATATTGTGAAACTTGTTTTTAATTTTGTAATCTTGTTTTGCGAAGTTGTTTATCGTAGTAGATTGTTGGATGCTATAAATCCTTGGGGTAAAATTTTCAAAGAGTTTCTTTTTACATGTGTTTACCAGAGTTTTTTCATATGCATTTGGTGTGTGATCCGAGCTATTTTCTTAAGCTTGTGTGTATCTTTGTGTGAGAATGGGAGAGTAGAGCTTTTTGTGAAATAAGACAGTTTGCTTGTTGGAGAAATAGGAGAGATGTAGGAATCCCTTAAAGTCAAGTCAACATATATAGTGACCAAATAACAGGCCTGTGGGAATTATTCAGAACTTAGTGTACACACACAAAGTTGAATCCCAGGAAATCCTTTAGGATTGAATCTATATTATATCTCTTGAGCCCAGGGTAAGCTTTTGGTATTTGGTAATCTCGTTCTCATCCAATGTAATGTTACCTTAGGCTAAGGCAGATACGTTCTTCTTGATGATTCATGATTGTAGTTAGAAGCAAACAGCAAACAACTGGATACTAGAGTAGATGCTCTTTTCCAATGAATATAATATAATATATATGCCCTGCCTTGTTACAATCTATACCTTTTTTTTTTGCAGCTACCTTGACAATATTACAATTATGAATCTTATTGTGGATGTTTATGCATTATCATATAAGAAAAAGAAATTTTAAGATAAATATGTTTCCTTTGCCCTCAAATACATACATTAGATTTGTTTACAATACATGGCTGTGTTTAGATAATTTTCTACTTGGAGAGAATCAGATTTCACTAAGGAAGCTGCATTAGAAGGTTTTTAATCGTTGACGATAAGTTTATATACTTGAGAATTGTAGTGTGTGTGTGTGTGTGTGTGTGTATATATATATATATATATGTATATATATGTGTGTATGTATATGTGAGTGAGGTGAAAAATAATAAATTTAGATGGAAAACTTAGCAGTTAGCAGCAGGATCAGGATGTTCGAATAAGAAATGTGGACAAGTTAATGCAAGCTCAATCAAGTAGTACTAGAAAAAGGACTTGATATGTTTGCAAATGTGGATTCTTCCTTCATCTTTGGCATCTTTTACTTGATAGCCAGCCATAGCCCTCACTATTTAGGCCAGTGTGGTGCATTAAATGATTTTATTTTGGGCTCAGTTTCTTGATGAGTGTAGAGACTCGGACTACACAAGACAAGCAGGAAAAGAGAAAAAGTTACCAATTTTTATAATACGGATTTACAAGTTAAATTGGATTCCGGATATAGTTTTGGTCAAGTGTCTCAACTGCTGCAGTTTTTTATTGTGATTTGTAATTGTAATGCATCTCAAGTCATTGTAATTGAGATGCTCAATTAGGCCATAGTCCATTATATATACATATGCTTGTATCTTTACAAAAATAAGGTTATGTGAGGAGGGAGGATGTAGAATGAAGTTGGAGACATTTCAGATAAGATGACAGGAGAGTAGAGATAGTATTAGTTGCTTTGTGAATTGTCATGTAGACTAGAGTGTTGTCAGTTGTGCTAATCAGACTATTTCAAGTCCCCAATAGGATCCACTAGTTTTTAACTGATGACAAGAATTTTGCACTGGTAGCCTGGTGACTCATGTTAACTTCTCTCGAGGATAAATGACCCATTCATTCTACACATATGATAAAGGTTCCAAATCTCCTGGGTTTATGGCATATACTGTTTTAGTGATCAAGTGATCAAATTATGCTAATTCCACCTCATAATCTCTCACTCTTCCCTTTCAAACTCTACACATGCTCTGAAACAAAATCTGTAATTAGGGAGAGCATTTATATATTTAAACTGTAAAATATGCGGATTTGATCTTGTGACACTTGTACCTAAATTTTAATACAAATAGTTATGTAACAACCAAAGGGCTTCTAGCCCCATGGTTGTTCTTCTCTCTCTTTAAGATTAAGGGTTCAGGTTCTGTTGTGTCCATAGATGGAATTAAGGATTAGATTATATTTTGCCATTCAAAGTTCAAAAAAGAGAAGAAAAAGGAAGTTGTGTAGCAACAAGCATTTATTTACCATAAGGGCCCTTGTATATATTATGGATTTTGTAGGTAGTTGGTAGTAGTAGAGCTCAGCTTTAACCTTTTTTTTTTTTATAAAATAACTTTGTGATAACAATATCTAATCTAATTCAACAACGAGTGTGTTGCTTTTGCTTTTGCTTTTGGTTGTGTGTGAAGCAATCTTGTTCGTGGTTTGGTGCACACAGACAGACAGACCCTCAAAAAATGTGGAATTACTACCAAAGTCGTCCACTTCCCTCAACGAATATCATCATTTGTGTATGAAGCTTTGTAATAAGATATTTTGAGAGCAAATCATATGGAATATGGTTTTTTTTGTTTGTAGTCCATAACTTCTGTTATTTAGTTCATGTTTTGTATGTAAACACAATAATTTATCGTCATTAAGTAATTTAATCCGTTCAAAAAACTAGATACTTATGTTTAATCATATTTAAACTAGATACTTATGTTTAATCATATTTAACATTATGTGGTTAGCATGCTCTTATGTATTTATATCTATATCTATCTATATTATATTATAAAAGATTTTCTTTCAACATATTCATTTGAAATTTTTATGATTTTTCTAACTTTTTTATAAGAATAATTATAAATGAGTTAATAATAATAAACAAGTGCAAAAACTAAATTATAATTCTAAATTAACTAAAATTTAATATTGAAATAATATTTTTTACGTATACCTATAAAATTATTTATTTAACTTTAAATATATTATATTTAATTTATTAATTTGATATGTTGTTAATCTTGTCAAACTATTTTTATAATAATTATAATGTTAAAGGGTTAAACTTAAACCAAAATTTAAATTAAACTTAAATCAAAATTTTAAATAAAGCTTAAAATGAAATCCTAAGATTATTTTGTAGATAGTTAAAAACTGTAAATAAATGCAAAACCTAAACTATCTCAAACTAACTAAAAAAAATTCTAAAACTAATTTTAGAATAATTAAAAAAAAAAAACAATGTTTGATTTTTTTAAATAATTACAATGATAAAAATTAAAATGTCAAGTACAATAAAGTTTTTTAAACAATTAATTAATTATAACATGTATAAATATCATTAAACTATATATTTTATTTAATTTTGTTCATGAGTAATCAATGGATAGAGATTATCGAGACGATTAAGATTATATAGTTTTAAAAGATGTTTACATTATTATATAATTCAAAATAAACAATGTTTTATATTAACTTAGTACAAGAATTATTATATCAAAGTTAACAACAATGTTATTATTATATTTAAAAGTATATATTTGTAAAGATTTTTAACTATTTAGTTGTATTCTGTACAACGTTCAAGTAAACACCTAGTAAAACTATAAATGTCAGTTTCGGCCTTCTTAATTGTCATTTATATACAAAATCATTACATTAAAAGTGACGGATAAAATGATTGAAATAGTCAAGCCAACTAACTATTACCATTCTCATTTCTTTCATTTTTTCTACATGGTCGGTAAATAATATATCTTTAATTGCTTTGATTTGATATCTTTCAATAGTACAGATCTCAAATGAAAATAACAAACTACAAAAATAGTAAAGATCTCAAATGAAAATAGTAAACTACATAAATGATCATTATGAATGTTTTCTAAACATAATATCCTTAACTTTGTCATTTGTTATGAGTTTGGTCCAAGTGATTTTTGTTTTCTTTTACATTCTTTTAGTTTTTTTTATACATAATTGTAAAATTACATCAATGCTCTCTCTGTTTATATAACATCAATGCTCTCTCTGTTTATATGTTTCTTTTGCTTGTCTAAGTTTTTTTTAACCATATAAATGGACTAAAACGTTTCTATTTAACATTTATTTTTGTTAAATGTGGCCTCAATGCCCTCTATTTTATCTTATTCACAATGGTTGCAAAACGATCCTATGTCACATGAATTATTGATGGTGGTTCCAAACTGTTGGAGTTGATGAGGTGGATGGTTAGAGGATTATTCAACAAGTAGACTACGAGAATGGATATGATTACAAAGAGAAAGCAAAAACACATGTCTTGTTTTAATGCTTGAATAAAGATAACAAAAATATGGTTATAAGGAGAA